AAATCAATTTTGTTTACCAAACACCAAGGGTCCTTTTGACAGGTAAATGTGGAAAGTAATTCCAATTCCATGTTAATTGGAAAATAAAAACCCACAAAATTCATATGAATTCGTTTTCCATGAAAACAAAGAAAATGCAATTTAAAGTGGTTATACCTTGAAATTAGATTTTTATTTCCACGTTACAATTAAACGGTTCAAGTGGAATTCGTTTTCTTCGAATGTGACATTTTTCATGAAAAATGTGGCATCAAACATGGCCTACAATGTTAATTTTGAAACATACAACAATTTTGAAACAAAAGTTTACTAAACACTTAATGAATTTTTTAAAAGCACGACCATGCGAAATCAAATCTGAATGTGATTGAAAATAAAGATAGGAAAAAAAAAGTAATTATCTCTTATTTTTCCTTCAACCATTTGAACAAAACGCATTTTCCATGTTTCTTCAATTATTTTTTTAGGCCAATCTAATCTATATGACTTTTGTCTTGACAAGCCTTGTATAGGTATATGTTCACGAACTTAAAGGTTGTTAAGCCCCTAGTTACATTAAAATTTTCATTCTCTTTCTTTTACTTATTTTCAATCGCACATTCTTTAGTAAAATAATATTTTTCATCACATAAATAATTTTTCTTTTTTTTTCAACTACACATTCTTCATCAACCTACTATTCTTCCAAAATAATATGATTAGGGCTGTAAATTGATCAGATATGTATTGGATTAGCCTATATCCGATCTGATCTGATAAGTCGAATTTCATTATGTCAAAGGAAGAGCATTACAATGTGTCTTAAATGCTCGCTTCTCTGAATTTTCTATCGAAGAATGGGGCTCACCCTATTATCCTACCATGGTAGTGGTACCCATTATATTATACAATATGTAATGGGGTACTTTTGACTTATTTTAATGGCTTTTTTACTCTTACTTTCTGGCTTTCTTGCGTTGTAACAGAAGATGTCAAGCCAAAATTCTTGAAAAGCAAGCAAGATTATTAATGGAAATTGAATATTTTAATATGCCACGATGTGTGCTCCTTACCTCTAACAAAGAGAATATTCTTGCTAAAGATAGTTAAAAATAGACATGCACATTGCTTACTAAGTTTCAAGGCCTCAATTCCTATATTCATCAAAATCCTTATAGTCATCAATGGAAGCCATGAATGGTTTGCTTTCTTTTCCCAATTATGAGAATCTAAACCAAGATTCTGCCCGTGTGCAGCAGGAACAAGGAGGAGAATGGGGAGAAATTTTACTAGAGGAGATGAATCTTTGGCCACATTTTGATAACACCCCTCCGTTGGACACCTCTGAGGTGGAGGAAATCGTTGACAGTTTCTTTAACGTGGAATGCTATGAAAGAGATAACGCCAACAAGTCTCCAAACGACGAAAATGGAGAATTTAATCAGTATAAAGAAAAGGGACTGTAAGGTTTTTCAAATATTGAGGGTTTCTTCCATGATGGATATGTTTCAATGATGATGATTAAAGAGGGTGAATTGGAAGAGTGTGGCTCGTGTGACGATCTTGGTTTTTGTTCGAACGTGGAGCCGAGTATTAAGGATGTTGTTGATCAAGGGCTTCATTTGGTGCAATTCTTATTAGCTTGTGCTGAGTCTGTGGGTTGCAGGGACACACAACTTGCCAATAGGATGCTAAGCCAAATTTGGTCTCGTGTGAGCCCTTGGGGCGATTCATTGCAGAGAGTTGCGTATTGTTTTGCAGTTGGATTGAAGAATAGATTATGTCTTCTTCAAAATGTGAATGCTGGTTCATTCTCTAATGGTGCCATTGATGTCTCCTTGGTCACAAGGGAGGAAAATAATGAAGCCTTTGATTTATTACACCAAACGACCCCGTATATTGCCTTCGGTTTCATGGCTGCAAATGATGCTATATCTCAAACATCGATGGGGAAAGAGGCCTTACACATAATTGATCTTGGAATGGAACACAATCTTTAATGGTCTTCTTTAGTAAGAACTTTGGCATCACGAATCGAAGGGCCCCCAAAACTATTCCGGATCACCGGCATAATTGGAGATCAAGATCCACAAGAGTTTGACACTAGCATGAAGGGCCTTGTTGAAGAAGCTTGTTCTTTGGGCATTCAGTTGGAATTCAACATGATAGCAGAGCCAGTAACGACGTTAGTTTTAAGCCGTGAAAAGTTCAACTTGAGAGAAGGAGTTGTCAATAGTATCCTACATTTGCATAAGCACGTAAGGGAAAGCGGAGGACCATTAAAGACCATTCTTCAATCAATCAAGAAACTAAATCCAGTTCTGCTAACTGTGGTTGAACAAGATGCAAACCACAACGAGCCATTCTTTTTTGGGAGATTCCTCAATTCTATTCATTATTATTCTGCCATTTTTTATTCTCTGAGGCCAGTATCCCGCGAACTAGCCCGGAGAGGATAAAGATCGAAAATTTTCATCTTGCAGAGCAAATTCGCAATGTTATAGCATTTGAAGGTTCTAACAGGATTGAGAGACACGAAAGGGCAGATCAATGGCGTAGGCAGCTAGCTCGTGCCGGTTTTCAAGTAGTAGGAATGAAGTGCATGAGCCAAGCTAGGACGATGATTTCAGCCTATGGCAGCGATGGTTACACTATAAGCAGTGAAAAGGGTTGCCTTCTGCTTGGATGGAAAGGAAGGCCAATAATGTTAGCATCAGCCTGGCAAGTGCACCATGCTAATTCCTCCTAGGCTTGGTCGAATAAGCTGCTTTTTTCATCACAATTGATTATTCATCATGTAAAACAACATTTGATTAACATCTTGTTACAATAAAGTGAATCAACTTTTGAAACACACATTGATTTGAAATTAAGTATGCAACAATTGATCTTCGGTTTCTACTGCTACATAATGATCGGGTTGACCGTTCACTCAGTTGTGTGAAAAACTCCAAGAGACATTGAATTCCAGCACACTTTCAACATGCCCACAACAATGTAAAAGCACACCCCAGATTTAAAAAAAAAGGTCGGCTTCTTATACGTAATGAGCCATTTGCAAACATTTGTTCCTTCCGTTTACAAATATGACACACATTGTCCTTTGCGTATATGCTTGAATGTTAAAAATATATTGCTTTGAGTAGTGAAGTTAGCATCAAACTGCTAATAGTGCCCTACGAACTTGTCTTTCGAGTTTGGGCCGAGGCAGACACTACGCGCAAACGGTTAGTAATTTCTGTAAAAGTTGGTCTTGCTGCAGGACTTGGGGCCCAACACTGCTCCATCAACCTTCTCCATTCGGGATCACAATGGCTCGGAATGGTTGGCCTTAATGTGTTGTTGACAATGCCTCCTGCAAGGGAAAAGATTCCTCAACTTTAGTAATGTATATTCAAATGAGTGACTTAAACCTTAAGTACATAGAACAGAAATGCCATTCAAGCCAATCAATTCATCAGGTTAACCCCAAATTCCATCATACATGTAATTAGAGCATGTTTGGCTAAGCTTAAAATCCAATTAAAATTGAAAATCTAACAGTTATTGGGTCTCACTTGTCTAATAAAAGTCAACAATAATGGCTAGTTTTTCAATTTTAATCTCTACCGAACACGCCCTCAGTCTGATTCTGCTGAGTTTAAAGGGGTGGCAGTTTCTGCTGAGTTTAAATACATTAGATCCATTTCTAAGCACTACATAAGTTTCCCAAGCCCATCAAATAACTGAACAGAATAATGTTATACACAACACCTAAATGATCCCATCATACACAGTGTCCCTAATTATTAATTCAATAATTGAGCAAAATATGGAATTTTATTAAAAGATATGTGGAAATATTTGTTAAAAATACGCCATAAGGACATCTGTTTAGTCAGTAAAACTTCCCTTCTATATTTCTAAAATCTGCTAAAGCTGAAAGGATGTTTATGCATGCACAACTCTACTAATATTTCTTCTAGTATATGACTTCTGCCTAACCCAACGAGTCAAGATGTAGAGGGCATTTGCGAAAAGTGAACATGGAAGGTGGAGAACTGGATGCAAATTAAATGCCGACTAACAAATCTGCATTTAAACTAAACTGAACTGTTCGGTTAGAACTGATACACGCATGAAATGTATTTCTCCTACATCTATCTTGATACATTCAACCCTGGAACTGCACATTAATCGTACAAGTCCAGACACAACTAATTTTTAGTGGGTCTAATAATTTTAAGTGATAACATTTAGATGCTACTAAACATACAACCAAATAAGTACTTAAATGCTTTAGCATTAAGAGAGTTATCAAACACCAAGAATGCTGCAGTAAGTGAGATCATGCAATGAAACTGATGGAGATAGAGATACAATTTAGGCAGAATTTTTAAATATATTTCAATTCAAATTATGTTCGTTTATATTAGATTAGATAGATTAGTTGTAATAATTCACTAAAGTTCTAGTTTATTAGGTATTCTTTTGATTTTATCTTCGTTGCCCTATGAAAAGAAGACAATAAGGCACTCTTGAATATATGAAACAAGTTGATTTTCTCTTGCCCTAAACTCTTCTTCTTCTTGAAACTTCTTTTTCTTTCTCATTCCTTTTATTCTTCAATTGTTTGTTATCAAATTGTTACGCTCCTACGTCAATTTGAAATTATGGAGATATATAGAATTTAGATAAGATTTTTAAATATATAGTTCAATTCAAATTATGTTGGTTTAGATTAAATTAGTTTTAATAATTCGAGAAGTCCTAGTCCATTAGATATTCTTTTGATTTTAGTTTCTTTTAATAATTCTTTTGTTTAGATTTCTCTTGCCCTAAATTCTTCTTCTTCTTGAAAGTTGAAACCTCTTTTTCTTTCTTGTTCCTTTTTCTCTTCAATTATTTGTTGTCAAATTGTCAAGTTCCTACGTCAATTTAGTATCAACGCTTAGTCATATTCCTTTGACCAAATTATTGTTCATTGCACCAACCACATTCCATCACATCATCACCCATCAGCCACCATATTCGTCCTTCACACGTCCCACCTTCATCCACAAAAACCACACAAACACCACATTCATTCACCACAAAAAAAAAAACCATAAATTATAATCCAAGGGCAGCAACAACTTCAGTCGGTACATTAGATCCTATTTTTAAGTTTACAAAAAATAATCTAAAAGAGGGACTCAGATTGTTCTCTATTCTTTCATTAGCCGATATTTCAAATTAAAAAAAAAAAAATTGGAAAAAAAATTCTCCAATTGTTTCTTTAATTGATTTTGTTTTTACCATTCTTCCCCTGTAGTCATTAAAGCCTCCATTGCAAGCCCACATCCAACCCAAAGTCACCATCCCATTATTCTATATATGCTAGCCCATTATCCAAACTAAACACTCAATACACCCGGCCCAACCCAATATACATCAAAACCCAAACATATACAAAAATTAGTGACCCAAATAATCCAAAAGCCATTAAACCAATTTAAAGGGCTTCAACAACGGGCCCATATATCCATCACACAACCCTTTCAGCCCACCAACAACTAAATCAACCAAATGAAGCCTCATCAAACCCAACATTATAATCCCCTCACCTACATACCAGGCCCATTACCCAAGCCTACAACCAAAAACTCCATATACCTCAATCCGACTCCATGGTTTCTTTGCTACAAGTTTTGTTTTATTATTGGAAAAAAAGTCGAAAAGAAGAAAACACTTCGCGAGCTACAATTTATGGGTTACCATTCATCCGAAAAAAATTACATTCTATTGATTGCCATTATGCCAGCTTGAAGATGATGACTTTTAGAGCTTGTTTGAGAGGAATTTTTGAGGAAAGAATTGATTTTTGAATAGTAATATGATGGGAAATATGTGGTTGAAAAAGAAGAAAAAATTATTCTTATTATGGAAAATATTATTTTTATTGAAAAATGTGTAGTTGAAAATGAGAATTGATTTATTGTAGAATTTGAGAATCTCTCTCAAACACTCCCTTATAATGTTTGGCTCTTTTAAATTTCGTGAGGTACTAATTTCTTTTATACTGGGAACATGCTTTTATTTGGATATTCTGCCTTGTCAATTTTAAATTAAAATAAAAAATATCTTTTAATTTCTAATGAATAAAAAAAAAGTAAAAATACAACAAAATTACACTCCCCTCACGTCTTGTATGGTCCTTATAATAACACTTACACATCCAATAAGCCCTTATGTCGTTCCTACAATCATGTGTCTTCTCCCACCCATTATCAACACAATTATCTCCCGTCTAAGGATTATGTTGACGACATTCATTATCCTTAGGCAAATTACCATACAACTGTGAGACTTCGATGGTCTAACTAGTCCCGATTTATTTCTTGATTGACACAATAATTTAGAAAAGTTCTTTAACTTTCACAATTTTAGTGACTCTCATCATATTTGCCATGTAAATATGACATTGTCCGATCCACTAAGGTTTATCGGAAGTAAGTCAATTTTGCATATTACTAATCCTTTAGGTCAATGCCTGTGTCACTTTGTGGGATGAAATGAAATGAATATTAAATAACAAATATGCCACGTATTATTAATTCAATAGTTTAATAAATTATTTTTGCACTCTAGGCAGGGTACATCCATGTTAGTGAATATCTAATCCACTTCGAAGAGCTATTGCATAGTTATGATATTTATAGAGCTCCTTACATCACAACATCTAGATTTTTTGGTGGTTTGAATCTTCAAACTAAAATTTTGCCCAACAATATTCCCACGCCCCAATCCTTGGATGAAGCTTACCAAAAAGCCAACCTTCGGTACATATCATTCCATCTTCGTCGAGCATGTAAAAAACTAGGCTTACCACCACAGTCCCTACAATCACTTTCTAAGTCTAAATGTGTGAGCCCATATCATGAGGAAGAAAATGAGATTTCTATTGTCAACCCTATTGAATAGTTTTATAGCGAGGATGAGAGTTTTGAGAATTGTCTCGTGTCTCCCACCTATCTTTAAGATAACGGACAATAATACAGTTGAGAAATTACCTATAATGTTGCCACCTAAGCCAAACAGTTTGCCTATCCCTTTACCTGCCTTTAAGGTTGAATTTGTTATAGCATCACCTCAACTGGTTGATAATCCTAGGGTTGCCACGTTTTTGTCCAAGACAATTGTTCGCTTACATACTTATTCTATAGATGTTGCCTACTAATTACTGTCATATTGTTTTAGCTCCCTTTGTTGTAAATATTCTTTCATACCAAGATAACAAGACAAATTATTATCAATCATGAAATTATGAGCTTGATTTAGATTCTCAAGATAGGCTCGGAGACTTTTAACGGCGATTATTATGCTCTTACGCCTGTTTCTTTGACCTGGTTCCCTATATGTTAAGAAAAGTTTTTCAAGCATTCACATAAGAATAATCTATTTTAATGACCATCACACTTGAATAAAAGTTATGTTTTTAATTAAGGACAATTGTTTTACTATCGAGACCCAATTGAGCCTCCAATGTTGCAATCATTTGTTTATGCAAACTAGTCTATAGTCTTAACATCTTGTGCTATTCATTATTAAAAGTCAATTGTAGCTTTTGTAGATGAGTTGCATAAGTTTTTTGCCTTTTGAAGTTCGTTATCGCTACTTGATTAGGAGGAATCATTCCCCTAGTCAGATCATATTCTTGAGAATGATTTGCAAATTTAGTTGTCGTCATATGATCAATTTAGTTGCTCGGTAGCCTACTAACCAAGGAAG